AGTTTTCGTTTCGCATTTTCTTCCTTTAGTTTATGTCAGTTGTTAACTGCGCGCCCTAAAGGCTTCGGTAACCTATCGCTAAAGAAGTGAACCATTAAATTACACGTGTTTGTTGATTCACTTTTGTGCAAGCCCATTTTACTGTCTTCATTATGTGCCTTTTCTGTTTCAGGTGGGCCGATTTTGATTCGCTGGAAAGTGCGTGTGATTCTGGTGATGGCACTGTTAAGCTGAACGCGAAAAATCAACGGATTTTAGGTGCAACAACCGCTGATCTCTTTCTCGTTTTCGCCAAACAGGTCCTTTTTTCTGTTTCGCAAGCTGATTCGGCCGGTACTTTTGGGAAATCACAGTGTTCCTCCTTCCTGTACGTTTTCTTTTGGACTGGTTTGATGGTTTTTTTGAAATCCTTGAAGCAGAAACAGTAAGCATTTGAATCCAATTCTACGGAGTTTTGGTTGTTCCGGGTGACGATTAAGCAGTATTTAAGGCTGAATTGTCAAAATCAAAATCCTCTTCTTTTTCACTATTTGTTAAAGAACGTTACACCTAAAAATAGCCGGAATAGTAATACTTTACAGCGAGCAGCAGCCCAGATCATTCCACTCCCATAATTTGCCTTCGAAAAAAATTCAAGGCGGCCCAACAGTGGACATGCCTTGCCCGCATGGCCCAGTTTACTAACGAAACGAGGCAGCAAATTTTGTTCAAGGATAGGTTTTTTTTGTCCCCTCTCCCCGTCCCTCCCCGTCCCTGATGAATCTGAAGAAGCGCCAGCGAGTGCTACTCCACCATTACACCAACTCGCCAACAAAGTAGGTTCAAATCCAGCAAAAATTTTACGACTGGATATTTTCAGGATGAAAATAACACGGCATGCTACATCTTGGAAAGAGGAAGCCAGGAAAGTGATGCAATCAAGCTAGCCAATCAAAATGCAGTTTTCGAAAACACTGGAGTGAATTGTGAGTTTTTTTATCGTTTTTTGCAGTTGCTTGGACTCGGACGGATATTTTTTTGTTGGCCATATTGAATCCATTTGGCATGTGTTTTGTGAGTACTGGCAGAAGGGTTTTACCTTCTCCAACCAGTCGGTACTGTTTTCACAGATTCGTTCTACCCATGCCCAGATAGATCACTTTCTTTTGTTCATTTCTACATTATCCGGTATTCACGAGGCGCCACAATTTGGATTTCGAAAAAAAAAAAGCGAGTTGGTAAACAAGTATTCCCATGCGGTTGAAATCAAAATCCTAGAACTGTGTAATAATGGATCAGGCCGCTGAGGTACAGCGCCACGTATACACAGTCATCATATCTTCTTAGCATAGACGGATCCAGGGCGGTCCTCTGGGGAGAAGGGACGAT